GTACAAAAAGTGGACTTCAATCCTGCAGATATATTTAGTTACATATTCAGTTTACGAATCTCTTATGGAGAAGCTGTGAAAGCAGTTTCTCATCACCTTCATCGTCATCAGCTTTACATTTCTGTTTTGCCAAATGTTGACTGGGAAAAAATGCTATATAGCATTCTATAATGAAAAAAAATCCTTCTTTGCATAATGGTGGAAATTTCCATCATAACATTGAATGCCCAAAAATTATATAAAATACCAAGTTCACTTTAAGTTGATCGTGTCTGGATACCTTTTTAATGTCCATTGCAGAAAAAAAAAACAAAAGTCTAAAATAATATTATAAGGAGTAAAAAAATAATTTTTTGCTTGTCAAATAAATTAAAAAAAAATCTGTTTTCAAATATTTTGAACACTATCAGCGACTATGGACTGTATTTTATTAAAAAAAAGAAAAAACTATGCAAAGCCAATGCAACTGCTAGTATCTCTATAAAAATCCTAAAAATATTTTAGTAGATTGTAGTTAAAGGAATAAAACGTTAAATTTCAATACGAACTAAGAAAGCACTTTATCTTATATTAAAATCTCGCGCAGTCAGTTGCAGGTGCTCCGTGTTTACGGAATGAAAGCTAGCTACTCGTTCCGCGACTGCGATTTCATAATACCGAAGACAAATTGCTAAGCAGTCTCTCAGCGATGTCTCTTGTTTTCTATATGCGTTTAGTTACAAAAATATAAAATAATAAAATAAATATATTCATGTCTATGTATTTTATGAACTTAATATGTTCGTCGTTTCCGACAACATGTTTTGACTTCATGTGGAAGTTTTCTGACAAAACATATTAAGTTCATAAAATTTTATATTATATATACTTACGTCATCTGTTTTGCGACTGCAATTTCATAATATTGAAGTCAAATTGCTAAGCAATCTCTCGGCGACGTCTCTTCTTTTCTATATGTTATATATAACGAAACGTTACAAAAATATAAATTGATAAAATATATTCATGTCTATGTATTTTATGAACTTACTATGTTTGTCGTTTCCGACAACATGTTTTGACTTCATCCAAAAGTTTTCTGACAAATTCATAAAAAAACATTGACTTCATAAAATTTCTATATATATCATCATCCGTTCCGCGATTGCAATTTCAAAATATTGAAAACAAATTGCTAAGCAGTTTCCCGACGTCGTCTTTTGTTTTCTATATACGTTTAGTTAAAATATAAATTAATAAAATATATTCATGTCTACATATTGTATAGCGGGTTTTATGCACATACAATGTTTGTCGTTTCTAAAAACATGTTTGGACTTCATAAAATTGACATTTTATATACATATATTATTATCATTATATCAGCCGTTAAGTGTCCACTGTTGAACATAGGCTTTTCTGATAAAGAGAGTTTTGTCAGTAGTTGCAACGCTTGGCGGGCGGGTTGGCAACTGCAGTTAGGCTTTGGTGATGTTTTAAGAGGGACGTTGCTTGCCATCGCTTGATTATTAAGTTCCTTTAATCGTCTTTATTCTCATGACACCCAAGAGGAAAGAAGGGGTGACTTAGCCCTTAATTTAGACTGATTTTAATAAGGACTCAACTCGAACTTAAATATTGATAATTTTATCGAACGCTATTACGTCAATCTCTAAGATTGATGTTCGAATAATTTTGACTTTTAAATATGGAATATTTTTAAAATTCAATTAAAAATATAATCTAAATTAAAATATTGAATTTATTAGGGTGTGGGATTTCTTGTGTTTTATAATTTTTGTATGAAAATAATTTTAAACACACTTTCAATTATAAAGTTTCCTTATCTATTTATATTTTTATATATACTCGTAAATATACATGTAGCAATCCTTAATGGGGGTAGTTAAAGGCATTTGCCCACATTTGGGGGTAGTTACAGCATGTTATAATCTAAGAGTAATAATAAAATTGGTGTTTACAGATAATTAGTAAACCAAATATGGCGAAATAAAGTTTAAATTCGATTCGAATTAAAAAGGTTTCATTCCAAATTTGAATAAAGAAAACTATTACGCTTCGCGCGTTTTTATTGTCCTTAAAAAAATTTCGTTGTTACAAAACTGAATCGTTGAATTGCCAAAACAAAGATGTAGTATTAATAATGTCAGAGATCAAAGAGAAAGCACCAGATGAAATTATGAACGTCTTGTTGAATAATAATAAAAAATATATATATAAAGAAATAATATGACTTTATAAAAAAAGGTAATTTGATTTATTCATATTTGTGTAAACAATGAATTATGTATATTCAGAATATTTTATTTATGTTTTATTATTCATAGAATAAGTTACAAAAATAAATGTCGATACGTGGGCAGTAAGTAGACTGATATTATAAATTATTTATGATGAATTAACACCTGTGGTCAAAATATATAACTTTAATTTATGATATAATTCACATTTATATATGTATATATATATATATATATATATATATATATATATATATATATATATATATTTATACAACTTAAAATGACAAACAAGCTGACGGCCCACCTGATGGAAAGTGGTCCGTCGCCTATAGACATGAGCAGTACCACGGACATAACAGAGTGTACTATTTCGCCCATGATACCCCCCATGCGTTGCCATTCCTGAGGACTCAGGTATTATTCCTCTGTACCCTGTAATACACGCTATATCCCACCCTTCAAACCGAAACACAGCCATGCAAACACAACTGCTTCACGGTAGAAACACGAATGGGACAGAGGTACCCAAACCATCGACTTTTGTAAATAGGATAGTAAAAACCAATTACTACAGTTCCTTGTTTTGATCCCGTACTAACTTTGTTAAATGAAGTTTGTTAAACAAATAAATAAATAAACAAGGCCCATTACAGATACTTATATTTTTATATCAGCAGTTATCTGTCCACCGCTGAATGTAGCCCCCCTCCCCCTCATTGTATTCCCAACAAACCCTTCTTGAGTTTTGCCAGTTGTTGCCGCACTTGGCAGGCGGCTTAGCAACCGCACTTAGGTTTTGGCAATGTATTAAGATAGATAGATAATTTATTTGCATTACTTACTTACAGCACACAAATTACAACATAGATATACAAAAAAAGCGAGATAACATAAATAATAAATAAATACATAAAGCTAAATACAATTTTCGTTTGTGAGTGTGCCATAGCAATACAAAATGGCCACAACTCAGTTTATTGCTTCGCCCTCAAAAGAGCAAAGCACTGATATTCTGTTGCGGCCAAAGGGAATAGGGTAACAATAAAACAATACTACCAGATTATCCATACAGTAAATAGACAGATATGACAGTTTATCTAGCAGACAAATGGAACATAGAGGTAACTTGCTGGAATGTCTAACTTTTGCCTCTCAATTAAGAATTTTTGTAAATTAATTTTGAAACTGGACTTAGAGGCGATCAGTCTTATGGGAGGTGATATATTGTTTCAACATTTTGTGGCTTGATATCAGAAGCTACAATTAAAAGCTGCTGTTTTATGGGGATTACAAGCTAGAAGAAAATCTCATCCCTCGACAATTAAATTCCCTTTTATACCTTCTTGTTATACCCACAGGAATGGAAATGGTGGCTCATTCTATGTTAGGATTATTCTACTATGTAGATACTTGTTAAGAGACGTGGATTCGACTTTTATACAATCGAAATATAGGGAGGTAAATTTCAAGCGAATATGGAAGGAATAATGATACGATAAAGTATGTTCGTTTGGAAATATACAAAATTATTCAATGTACCATTTGGACGATCATAAACTACATGTTGTCACGAGATAAAAATCTTTGAATTAATATATCACCAGTAAACAGTATGGCGGCCGTAGCGGAAAATTGCGTGCCCATCGCCGACAGGGTAACTATAAATCCGTCAGGGAACCCTTGACCCTTTTCTCTACTAGTAACACAGAGCTGTCCATAGCACATTTTGTATCCAAATGGATTACTTATGGTCACATAAAACAGTTAATGTACATATACTGTTCAGGTAGATTTATTTTTATATAAGCAATTACTTTTGTTAGGTTGGATTTTACTTTGCATTTATATAGTCAACGGATGACTTTTTTATAATAATATCAATTCTAATATAACAAAGAGAAATGATTTGTGTTGAAAACTGTGATAACTGCGATGCAAATGCGGCTAAACTATTATATATTTATAAGGACGACGAGATAAATAAAATACATATTACGTTTTCAACATCCATTTTTTACTAAATTTGAATAGAATCAACAGAATGCATTATATTTTTAATAATAAAAAAGGATAAGTGGCCAGTACGTGCAATAATAAAAAGAGTTCATTCTTATATATTAAATTGGATCTGCAACATCCTCTACATCTACCTAAAAATATGTTGAAAATAAATACTAAGGTGTTACAAGTTCAATATGTATCAGAAATATAGAAGATTACGCTAAAACTTCTAGTGGATAAAGTCTTTGATATGGTCAAATTTTAAAACCTAACGCTGTTTTACAGATCGATCCACTTTATCTTTCTCAGTATATATTCCTGTGATTATTCCTAGTGGCCACTTTACTTGTCTCTCCTCAGTTTCTATCAATACAATATCAATTTTTAAATTAGTTTCTTTTTCCTTCTCTTTTTGTAATTCATCTCTCCACCACAAATTCTTAACAGATTTCTGTCTGCACATTTAACTGATATTTGCAGGAAGGCTTTGGCAATATCGGCTGATATCCCTACAGTACCCTTTCGAAAGCCCATTAATAAATGAGGTATTTTATCTAAAAAGTTTAACCTCTTATTCAAGTATGAATTCAGTGATCGACCATTTTTATCACAAGCCAACGCGTCGAAAAAGGTCTTAATTTTGTAATTAAACTTGCATCTTTAACTACTCCTCTATGCGGTAAATAATGAACCATCTGTCCTAATTTATCTTCCGATACTTCGTCTATTATGCCCTTTTCTTTTCGACAACTTACTTTATAATATTAACTTACCATAGGGCATTAACCGTTTGGTATTCGTGGACAGTCTCTTTTCAGCTATGCACTGAATAAAAGCTTTACATATTTTGGCGTAGTGCCCTGGTTTTAGACATATTAGACAAGCTTTTTTCTTCTTAAGATGCTCTTTTCTTTGTTCTAACGACATCTTCGACAATTTATAACATTCTGCACCAGCATGACCTTTGTCGCACCATATGCATGCAGGTTTCCTTTCTGATCCGCTCACTCCGGCCATTAACGTTGATGCTGTCGATTCTGTTGCAACCGTTTGCTCTGATGTGTTACCAAAGTTTTTCGCTATTTTAATTCGTTGCTCGCTTTCGACTTCTCGTTTTATGAACAGTAGTAAACTTCCCAATTCATCTTGTACTTCAATTGGCTTAATTCTTTCCCATGCCTTCAAAACGTCTAATGGTAAAGACGATTCTACCATTGGAAGAATAAATGCGGCATATTTATCTTGTGTTACACCCAAAGTTTCTAAGGCGTGCAACTGGGAGTTGAGTTGATCATAAAGGCTTGATAAATTCATATTTTTGTCTTTATTTATTATTAATGTAAGTAGCTCTCTCACATAAACTTGAATCAATAATTCCTCACGTGCATATCTACGCTTCAAATCAGAAAGGCATTGTGTGTAGCTTGATTTATTTGGAGGAAAACTTTCAACAAAAGATCTTACTTCTGTTCCCGGCATCATAGATTGGACTAAGTATTGAAATTTATCCGCATCATTCATCTGTTTATCCTCATCTATTTTCTGGAACTGGCCCCAGAAGGGTAACCAACTACGTACACATCCGTCAAACTTCCTTAACTCCAGGACTGGTAATTTGTAATTCTTTGCTGTTTCAGATCCTGAAAAACCAACGCTTTCTTCTTTTGTTTTAGACAGAACATTCTCGACTCTTGTTTTCATTGTCAGCCATTTCTTATTGTAAGCTATCACCTCTTCATATTCTTTTTCTAGCCCACTTTCGTCATAATCTTTTTCAGCTAACAACATTTCTATATCTCTATCAAGTACCTCTAATTTCTTTATAACTCCTTGAAGTACTAAATAATTCAATTCGATCTCCGATATATTTAGTTCATCTTTATCTAACAAATTTTCTAAAATATTAGAGATCTTATACTTATACCGTTTCTTTGCATCCATCCTGGCAGGGTCGCCAATTGTTGTAAACTGTGATAACTGCGATGCAAATGCGGCTAAACTATCATATATTTATAAGGACGACGAGATAAATAAAATACATATTACGTTTTCAACATCCATTTTTTACTAAATTTGAATAGAATCAACAGAATGCATTATATTTTTAATAATAAAAAAGTATAAGTGGCCAGTACGTGCAATAATAAAAAGAGTTCATTCTTACATATTAAATTGGATCTGCAACAATTTGATTATTTGATTTGATATGATGATTTATTGATTTAAACTCGAAAACTATTCAACCGATTTTAAAAGAGAAAAATATGCTATTTTTAAAATTTATATGCACCTAAGTGAAATCAGGCCTGATCACTAGTACTATTTAAATATTTTTTAAATTCTTATATATATATATATATATATATATATATATATATATATATATATATATATATATATATATATATATATATATATATATATATATATATATATATATATATATATATATATATACACAACACTAAACCACACTAGTCATTCATACACTGTGACACCCGTAGTACCCTCGTGTAATACAAGTTACTGAAATACAATTACACTGTATCTCAGTAACTTGTATTTTCTGAAATATAAAATCACTTCCTTGCGGTCAACCTTTTCGCGGTTCTTTTTGGAAACCACAATGTGGTAATATCTTATAAAATTCGTCACAATGGGTTGGCTGACCTGTTTTAATCCTGTACTGTTTACCATCTCGTATATCGATAATGCAGGCAGGATTACCATTCTATTATCACCTATTAAAAAAAACCTGCAGAAGATGTCAAGTTTCCAGAATCGATGTGTTAATTGATAAAGCAAGTTCTAAAGACGCAAGAGATGTTTATGAAGAAAGAGTTATTTGTCTTTAGATTCTCTCTCTCTCTCTTTTGTCAGGGATTTAACCTGAAAGCAGATAGAATATAACTGAGAAATAAGTTGCTTATTTGTTATAGTTCTCTCTTATCTTATACAGCAATCCCAGATGTCATTTTAGATCTCGGCGGTACACTAGTACTGTGTAATTTCTTTGTTTACTTAGAGTACGTAAAATAATGCCGAATATTGATAAGAAAGCTTGTTTTGTTGTTTACCAGAGGGAGACTTTGTACAAAGTCGATTGCTTGGGTAGCTCTGTTCCATTCGTGTTTCAACCGTGAAGCAGTTGTGTTTGCATGGCTGTGTTTTGGTTTGAAGGGTGGGATATGGCGTGAATTTACAGGGTACAGAGGAATAACACCTGAGTCCTCAGGAATGGCAACGCATGGGGGGTATCATGAGCGAAACAGTATACTCTGTTATGTCCATGGTACTGCCCATGTCTATAGGCGACGGCTACCACTTTCCATCAGGTGGGCCGTCAGCTTGTTTGCCATTCTAAGTTGCTTAAAAAAAAAAAAGTTTTCTATACAGATTCTGTTTTTTATCGTCGCATGTTGTCATACGATATTTTTTATCATCTCACTTAGTCGAGTCCTACGGGAATAGTTAAGTGGTGGCTTATTCTATGCCGGAACCACACGGCCAAATATAAAAAGGTCCAGTTGGCCAAGTTGCTAGCAACAATTTGAACAACTCATGATTGGTCCTTGCTACGCATAGTGACCAATCGTTTATCTAAGATTAATCAATTATTAATCTAAGATTGGATTTCTGAAAATTAAATTTCATTTTAATTCCAAATTGACGTTAACTTTTTTACATTCCTTTATTAAGTAGGTTAATAAAATGAGATCATGGGTTAGACAAGACCTGGTTATTATAAGATTAAATAAATCATTTGGAACAAGTTAGTTAATTTTAGCGATTTAAAAGGAACAGTAGAAGAAAGTTCTTAATTGTTTTGTATTTTTTGTGTATATGTTACGCGATATCTTCCTTATTCTGAATCGATTTTGATATTTCATTTTACAATCAGTAATGTTTACTCGTTCTTTTTTATACAACTTAGAATGGCAAACAAGCTGACGGCCCACCTGATGGAAAGTGGTAACCGTCGCCTATAGACATGAGCAGTACCATGGACATAACAGAGTATACACTTTCGTCTATGATACCCTCCATCTTTTGCCATTCCTGAGGATTAAGGTGTTAGTTCTCTGTACCCTATAAATTCACTGCCATATCTCACCTTTCAAACCGAAACACAGCCATGCAAACACAACTGCTTCACGGTAGAAACATGAATGGGAGAGAGGTACTCAAGCAATCGACTTTTGTACAAAGTCTCCCTCTGGTAATTATGTAATATATTATCTGATTATTGGTTCTAATTAAATTTTATCAATTTTATATAATACTAACTTTTGCTCGCTACTTCGTCTACGTGAATTTCAGAAGTAGGAAAACCATTTAAAGATATCAATTTTAGATAGAATATCAAGATTAAATAACAATAGTTCTTAATTTTATATATATAGCCGTGTAGATTCCGGCATAGAATAGGCCACCCCTTCCTTTCCCATGTGTGTAAGAGGTGGCTAAGGGAGCTTATGGTGGAGGAAGGGCAACAGCGTTTCTCTTAAAACATCCAATAGCCAAACTGCTGTTGCCAATCCACCTGCCAAGCGTGGCAACTACTAGCAAAACCCCCCCTTATGGGGGAGGTTATGGTCAGCAGTGGACAGTTAATGACTGATATAACAGCAACGAAAGTACTTAAATTATATCTTTATAAACACAACTGTGAAAATCTCATCCATTTTTGTACAGTACTTTTAAAACCGCCACAACAAACATTCGGATAGACAGATTGACAGAGGGACAAATAGACAGTCATAATTTCTAATAATTATACATACATACATACATATCTGTCACGCCTGTCTCCCATTAGGGTAGACAGAAACAATAAAACGCCAAATGCTTCGATTCAAACAAACCTCTTTCGCTTCTTCCACATTCATCAATCTTTTCATGCACGCTCGCCGGTTACGGGTACTTTTAATTTGGCCCTTCTTCAGAACATCGTCTATTTGGTCAACATACGTCCATCTAGGGCGGCCCCTTAATTATTAATAATTATTGTTTTGTTTTCTGTTGCTCTCTATAGCTGTTGGTAAGATCTCTCATATTAATTTTTATTAAGAACTTGTATTTCCCACGCACAGACATCATTTGGTTACAATTTTCTTTTTTATGCAACTTAGAATGGCATACATGCTGACGGCCCACCTGATGGAAAGTGGTAACCATTGCTTATAGACATGAGCAGTACCATGGACATTACAAAGTATACTGTTTCGCCCATGATACTCCCTATACGTTGCCATTCCTGAGGAATAAGGTGTTATGCCTCTGTACCCTGTAATTTCACTGTCATATTCCACTGTTGGGATATGACAGTGCTCGAAGAACCGGCAACCGATGGGAAAGAAAGATTCTTGAGTGGCGATCCCGTAAGAGCAAACACAGCGTAGGACGACCCCCTACAAGATGGAGTAACCACCTTAAATGCATTACAGGGAGTCAATGGATGCAGGTGGCTTAGGACCGTTCCTTCTGGTAGTCTATGTGGGAGCCCTATGTCTAGTAGTGAACGGATAATGGCTGAAACGATAATAATGATGAACCTTCGACCCGAAACCAAACCCATATTATATTATTAATAGAAGATATTGCTGCAAGGGGGCCTCCAATTCGTTCGTTCCCTAACTAACTCGCAGTTAGCATCGTACGTATTAGTGTAAATTAGCAGCTGGCTTATGCTTTGTAGTTTATCGTCTATAAGTTACACCACAATATAAGGGTAAGCTTCCACTTGGGTGGATGGGATTATTGGGGATCGATTCAATTTAAATTGGCCGCGTAACTAGTAATTAAATTCAATGCGGTTCCCGTTTCTGCCGGATTTGCGGAGGTATCGAACGTGTCGGAATTAACGGAATGGAATAGACAAAAAAATGCATTGTTTTTTTTTTATATTCGGAATAACCAGGTTGAAGTTATGCATACAAAGAGATTAGGTCCTGATTTTGCCTACTTTTCATATATATATGAAAAGTAGGATGCGGGATTAGATTGTAGAGATAAGAGGATTATTTTCTTGTTTATAAGTATATATATGTAAAATTAGTAATTAGTGGAGAAAAAAAAAAGTTTTTTTTTATATTCGGTTGAAGTTATGCATACAAAGAGATTAGGTCCTGATTTTGCCAGGAATCTTTTATATATATATATATATATATATGAAAAGTAGGATGCGGGATTAGATTGTAGAGATAAGAGGATTATTTAGCAACTTGTTTATAAGTACCAGGAAACTGTAATTAAAATAGGTGGAGAAAAAGGAAATGCTACAATTAATCTAGGTATAAGGCAAGAATTTCCACTCTCACTACTCATGTTTAATATTTTTATAGAAGCTGCAATAAAAGAAATAATACAATAAAATATAAGTATTAAAATAAACGATCAAGATAACAAAAAATATAAGAAAATGACTTATCAAGAGCTATGTATGCTTTACCAGAGGGAGATTTTGTACAGAAGTCGATTGCTTGGGTACCTCTGCCTCATTCGTGTTTCTACCGTTAAGCAGTTGTGTTTGCATGACTGTGTTTTAGTTTGAAGGGTAGGATATGGCGTGAATTTACAGAGTACAGAGGAATAATATCTGAGTCCTCAGGAATGGCAACGTATGGGGAGTATCATAGGCGTAACAGTATACTCTGTTATGTCCATGGTCATGTCTATAGGCGACGGTTACCACTCTCCATCAGGTGGGCCGTCAGCTTGTTTGCCATTCTAAGTTGTATAAATAAAATGTCAAGAATATATATTTATATGGATGTGAGACGTGGACACTAATCGGACACCAACAAGCAGTTTTTTTTTTTTTATAAATATCAATGTCATACGGAAAGTCTTGACTTTTCTTTCCGTGTGACTTTTGGGTGAGCACGTCTCATTTTCAACCGACTTCAATAAAGAAAGAGGTTCCCAATTCAGAATTAATT